GCCGGGATCGTACTCCGGCGGCTCGCGCAGCCTCACTACCTTGCCTCACGCTCCTTCGACAGCGCTCGCAAAACTCCGCTGTCGCCCTTTTTCCAGATCAACAGGAAGCCCCTCCTGCAGCGCGCAGGGTTATGTCGTAAGAGCGGCGAAAGGCTTTTGGACTTCCCGGTGGAAAAGAATCGTCGAGGGGGATGGAGATTTCGGCGGGAGGCGCCATGCTTGGGGTTTGTATTGCCGGAACGTCCCTTCGTAGGCGTGCCTCAGGGTGCGTGGGGGTTGCTTGCCCACGTTCTAGGGTATCGACGAAGTGAGATGTCGGTCGAAAGGAAGATCGAGCACTCGAGTTGACCCAGGGGGGCCCGATTGACGTAGTGATGGATGAAGGATTCGCTGGATGAGGACTGGTGACACACGATGCTGGGTTCAAATGGTGGTACAGATGCTGGTGTTGGTTGTTGGACGATGGTTGCTCGGAGGACGTCAGCTGTTTTAATGGTCATTGACCGACGTCAGCAAGCCTTTGCCCGTGGAGGTGGAGGGTTCGGAGCTAGCGCTGTTGCAGGGCAGCACAGGCCAGGTAGGGACATGTACAGGGCACCCGCCTACCTTAAAGTGCCTACAGCGCCTTCGCCGGGCTGCCGTCGGCAGGGGGTGCCCCAGGTGCCTAGGCAGGTATGTGGAGCACTGAAAACAGGGACCTTGAGTCACTCGATCAAGCGACCTGAGCAAGGCTGAGGTGGTAGACCCCAGGCAGTCAGTGATCCATCTCTGCCGAATGGCCGCCATCGAATGGCTTGGGTGGCCGCGCCATCGGTATTGGCTCGGCGCCAAACCCAAACCAAGAACAAAGGACCGATCGGGCGGTAAACACGTCAACCCGGGTGTCAAGCAGGGGCTCCCTTTTTCCATCGCCATGCCAGGCATGAGACGCAGATCTAGACTACACCCATAGACCTCTTGTTCAGGCCACCATGCCAGAGGCTCAAACTTACTCCCCACACGACTCCCAGTGACCTTCGTCTACTGTTGGTCGTGAACCAACGACAGCTGGCACGTTACATACTTGCAGGGCTGCATCCACAACACTGATGAGCGCCCATGTCACAAACACAAGTGCAATCCCAGCACAACCGTACTTGTGCATTGCGTTCTCTATCGTGAGTGATCGTCAAAGAGGTAGGTACTCCAGGACTGTCGAGCCATCGACGTTCCATGTCAGCACATCATTATCCCTCGGGGTATTTGTGCCGATTCGTCCCCAGTCTCCATCAGCATCCGCTCTTTCTCCTTCTCTCTCTCCCTCTTCGTCTTCTCGTATGCCAGGATGCCGTGTTTCCTGCCGGCCGGCGACCCCAGGGTCTGTTGCGTGGCCCGTCCACTGCCCCCAGTCCACTGCTCCCAGTTCACAGCTTAGAACGTCTCCTGGTCGTCCACCTGATCCTCGGCAGGGATCTCGAAGCCCTCCTCGGTCGAGTAGAGGATGGCCTGGATCTGCTTGACGAGCCCGTCCTCCTGCTTCTCGAGCTGGGGGTCCTCGTCCACGGCCTGCTGCACGAGGAGCTCTATGTCACGCAGCTTGCTGAAGTAAAAGTCCCTCTCCCGCTCGAGGCCGACGACCGTCTCCTTCAGCGTCGTGTTTTCGTTCTGCAGCGCCGCCGTGCCGGGGCCCACGGCCGCCTTGGCCGTGCGCGGTCCGCCCGTCGTGGGCGTCGTGCCGCCGCGTCTGGCGGCGCCGGCACCGACGGCAGCGCGGGGCGCGGCACCGCCGGCGGCGAGGGTGCCGCCCTTGCGCCGCGCCACGGCGTCATACTCGTGGTCGGGGAAGTTGAGGTCCCAGAACTTCTTGGTCCACTGCAGGAATTCGAGGTTGTCCTGCATTTTGCACTTGGCCAGACTCTCGACGGGAATGGGCTTATCAATCTGGTGCTTGTGGAAGCAGTCTGCGTGGTGGATGGCAAGTCAGTTCGCGCGTCGGAATAGAGGGGTAGAGGTGGGGGGGGGGCATGAATAAAGTTGGGAGGCTCACTCTGCAGAATCTTGAAATTCTGAATGTACGCATATTCAGAATTGACGTTGAACTTGACACGAGACATGGGGATATCGAGGAAGATGCTGTCGAAGACTTGGCAGAGGGCGGCGCTGGAAGGGGGATTTTTGTGAGCCATGGGAGGTGGGGGCTTTCGACCGCCAACTGCGCAGGAAATGTGCTTACCCAGTACCGCATTGCTCGACCTTGGTGATGTTGAGCTGCAGAAGGCTGTTCAGCCACTGAACAAGCTCTTGCCTACATGAGCATCTTCGTCAGTGATGACTCGAGATTGGGGAACGGGGTTGCTTAGGGCGCATAGGTGCACCAAAGACAACATCAGGAGGCGAGAGGTTCTCCGTACCTAGATTCGCCCATCTTGATTGTTGTGTTGTGGTGGGTTCGAAGGAGGGGCTATGGATGGAACGCAATGCGCAAAGAGGCTGAGAGAGCAAAGAACGAGCAAGAGGAGCTACGACTCGGAACAGGAGATGCGCAAAGCGGGAAACCGAAGTCTGGTGGGATGTTTTGTTGGAGGACGGTTCGGAAGGAGGAGGAAGGTGGTGGTGGATTTTCGTCCTTCGTCACCACGCGGAAAGTCGACCTCCACCGGGTCTGCGAAATTGCTGGCACCAGTGAGGCAGCGACCAAAGTGCTGTTCCTTGGTCGTCCAATCAACCGTGGTGGGGTGAATCAACCCCTGACCCCGCGGTGGCCCCGTCTTAGTCATTCAGTTCTGAGTGCGTGCTGATAATCACGTGCCGCACTCTCACCTTCCTGACCGCCTTCTCCTGACCGCCTTTGACCCGCCGAGCTAGACATCCGGCAGAAACATTTCACTCCACCAAGCTCAAGAAAAAATCTGGACGCAGATCGTCGCTGCTTCAGTGTGAGGCCCCGGAACTACACGGAGTACCCGACGACGACAGACGACAACTCCCCGGGCTGCGATCTCAGCGATCAAGCAACCAACCACCATGGCACCCGCTCAGAAGCGCAAGACCGTCGACGACGACTTTGTGCTCACACTCTCCGACCACGAGGGCGAAATTTCCGACGAGGAAAAGGCTCCTGTCGCCCCACCTAAGAAGAAGGCCAAGACCACCACCAAGGTCAAGGGCAAGAGCAAGAAGGGGAAGAAGGGCAAGGAGTCGACCCCTGAAGAAGAGGAAGATGATGAAGCACGCGAGGGTATCTGGGGACAGAACGATTCCGACGATGGAGCCATGGATCCGGATTTCGAGTACATCCAGGACGGCGCCCAGGAATTCGGCGAGGCCGATTTCGAGGGCTGGGGATTTGAGGGCGCCAAGAGCAGCATGAAGCCTCAGAAAATTGGCCTCGACCTTGACGACATCATTCGCAGGAGGTTAGAGAAGAAGAAGGAAATTTTAAACATGAGAGCGACCGAGGAGGAGGCACCGGTTTTAGGACGCCAATGATATGGAATTGGACCTCGAGGACGACGAGGACGGTGTTCTGGCCGATGATGCGTTCGGCATGGGCGCTGATTCTGAAGGCGAGGGCTCCGAGGCTGAAGATGAGGACGCGGAGGGCGCAGAAGACGGCGACGACGCGGCCTCCGACAATGACTCGATCGCAACACCTGTGGACCACCCAGACGATGTCGAGTCAGACTTTAGTGACGACGAGGATCCTGAGGAAAAGGCGAAGCGCGATGCGTTCTTTGCGCCAGAAGAAGTGGCCAAGCCTGGCAAGAAGGCCGCCGCCAATTCGTTCCAGGCCATGTCGCTCTCGCGACCCATCCTCCGCGGCCTGGCAGGCGTGTCGTTCACCAAGCCAACGCCAATTCAGCAAAAGACGATTCCCATTGCTCTCATGGGCAAGGATCTCGTCGGTGGTGCCGTGACCGGTTCCGGAAAGACGGCCGCCTTCGTGGTGCCTATTTTGGAGCGTCTTCTCTACCGACCGAAAAAGGTCCCCACGAGCCGCGTCGTCATCCTCACGCCCACTCGTGAATTGGCCATCCAGTGTCATTCCGTCGCCACGAAATTGGCCGCCTACACAGACATCAAGTTCACCCTCGCCGTCGGTGGTTTGAGTCTGAAGATGCAGGAAGCCGAGCTGCGCCTGCGTCCCGACGTTATCATCGCCACACCTGGTCGTTTCATCGACCATATGCGCAACTCGGCAAGCTTCGCCGTCGACGCCGTCGAGATTCTGGTTCTCGACGAAGCCGATCGCATGCTCGAGGACGGTTTCGCCGACGAGCTGAACGAGATTCTGACGAGCATGCCCAAGTCTCGCCAGACGATGCTCTTCTCCGCCACCATGACGTCTTCGGTCGACAGGCTCATCCGCGTCGGCATGAACACGCCGGCGCGGGTCATGGTGGACTCGCAGAAGAAGACGGTCACGACGCTGACCCAAGAGTTCATCAGGCTGCGACCCGGTCGCGAGAGCAAGCGCATGGGCTACCTCCTCTTCATCTGCAAGACGCTGTACACGGAGCGCGTCATCATTTTCTTCCGCCAGAAGAAGGACGCGCACCGCGCGCGCATCATCTTTGGTCTGCTCGGCTTGTCGTGCGCGGAACTCCACGGCAGCATGAACCAGACACAGGTACGCTCACGAAACCCCCCGTCTCGGAGAACCCTACTGACTTGGTACAGCGTATTCAAAGCGTTGAAGACTTTAGGGATGGCAAGGTGTCTTACCTGTTGGCCACGGATCTTGCGTCGCGTGGTCTTGATATCAAGGGCATCGACACGGTCATCAACTATGAGGCACCGCAAAAGCTCGAAATCTACGTGCACAGAGTCGGTCGTACCGCGCGTGCCGGTCGCGCAGGTGTGGCCGTGACCCTCGCCGCCGAGCCGGACCGCAAGGTCGTCAAGGCCGCCGTCAAGGCAGGCAAGGCTCAGGGCGCCAAGATTCTGAGCCGCGTCATCGAGGCCGGTGAGGCAGACAAGTGGCAGGACAAGGTGGACGAGATGGAAGAGGAGATTGAGGAGATCAACGAGGAAGAGAAGGAAGAGAGGCAGCTGGCGCAGGTGGAGATGCAGGTGCGCAAGGGTGAGAACCTGATCAACCACGAGGACGAGATCAAGTCGCGGCCGCGCCGCACCTGGTTCGAGTCGGAGAAGGACAAAAAGTCGGCGAAGGAGGCGGGCCGGGCGGAACTCAATGGCGATAAGAACGAGAAGAAGAAGGGTGGCGGCAAGATGAGCAACAAGGACAAGAAGAAGGCTGAGTCGAGAGCCGAGAGGAGCGAGGCGCCGACGTGGAAGAAGGGCAAGGCGGAGAGGGCGGGCAAGGGCGCCGTGTTGGATGTCAAAAAGCCACGGATGCCGAAGAAGATCAAGGCTGCGGCGGGCAAGAAGACAAAAGCGCGCGTGGGCAAGCGGAGGTAGAGTCATTTCTCGGTATAGTGTTGCCACAGGTTGTAGGAGTATACCAGATCAGCGTTTTCTTGGTGCCTTGACACTTTCAGTGTGGATTGTCTTTAGTGGCTTTAAAGTAAGTATTGCGGTCACTACCACGATGGACTCTCACTTGTCACATGTTGCTTCAAAAACGTCAACTGCAGCCCGAATACGGGTTGATCATGGCGAGCACTGCATTCAAACGACAGATCGGAGTAGAGCAATCGAGGGAAGAGGGCTGTCGACACAAGGGGGACTCTCCAGGTACTCACTCGCAAGGTCCTTCTCCGACCTCATGCACGCTGTCCGTCATTGCTGTCATTTCAAAAGTCGTCAGACATCCGTTTGATTCTCGCCGCTCCATGTCTTGCTGCTGCCAAAATTCTCGAGGCACCATCTCTCCGCTACCTTGAACTCCTCGAACTCATTCAGAATCGGAACAACATTTCAGCAGCGTTCATCTATTCGCACTCTACGTACCTATCGATATTACATGAGGGTGAACAAGTCATGACTGAGGCTCTCATCAAGTATCCATCCGCAAGCAAAGACTCGTCACCCGGCACGAACCTTCGACTACTTAAGCTCCAGCCACGTGTAAGGGTGATTGGGAAGGTCGTTTTGGGTACTACCTACAAGTAGGTGGTGGACGCCAGAGGTTGTATTGGCCATCCCTTCCGCTCACCGTTCGATACCAGAGTGCGAGCTCAGCGTCAGCAGCGGCTTGGAGCGACTCCGGGTCGACATGCATCTTGAGTGGTACTGGACAAGCACTTCAGGTCCAGGTACTCAATGATGAGCGACAGAAGAAAGTCGAGCGGTTCAATGCACGTGATGGGATGCGCGAGGACTGACAGCAGAGGGTCAGAGGCAGGCACTAACGAGGGAGGGAAGGATGGAAGGCGTCGGCAGTGCGGCACCTGCCTAGGCCCACTGTCGAGCCTGTTCCTGAGGTAGGCTCGCCCCGACTGCCCGACTGCCCAAGACCAAGACACGCCCAGCCGCCCAGCCGCCCAGCAAAGCAAAGCAAAGGCGTCGTCACTGCAATCCACCTCAGCCAAGCATTACGTCCAAAGCCTACCTACCTCATGCAGCTTGACGACCAGCAACCCAGCCCAGGCACACAACCCTATCACGAGTTCCCTCCCCCTTCTTCGACTTACCCTCCCGACACCTCCGGACAGCACGTGTCTCGGATCCTCAACCTCGACAATCCCCTCGACAAGTTGCCCTACCCCGCGATCGTCCACCGTGCGGTCAGGTGCCTCCATCACCTCCCAGGCCCATCTCCATCAGCTGCGAAGCGTGGGGGTCAGGAGACATCATCGCCTGCCGGCCGTGAGCTCTAGCAGTTTGGCCAACCTTCGGTAACGAGCGAACTGCCAGTAACACGCCGACGGAACAAAGACGTTGATTGGCATTGACACATCGCCCCCGATCGTTGAGCATCACCGGTGACAACCATCGCCGGTTTGAAACCTGCTGCCCTTTCCTTCTGCCTCATAAGCAGACAAGCTGGCTCCTTTCAGACGCTGGCGGCTCGCAGTCCCGCGCTCGACAACACCACACCCCCATCACCGACTGAGCCTCCTGCGCTACCTCTTCCCCCAGTCCCTCCGCGAGCGCTATCGTGAGCGCCTGCTGGGTTTCCACCTCGATACTCTCCCCTACTACAAGCACCGCCTTCAGTCTCGCATCTACCAGTACATCCTCAAGAGACAGCGAAAGCCCGGCGTCGCCGCCGCTGTTCGCACCGTCTTCCGCCGGGGCCGCGGCCTGCTCCTCGGCCCGAACCCAGGAAGCACCGGCACCCGCCCAGCGCGTTATGCGAGGACGCGATCCCAGCAGCAGAACAAGTCGAAGAGGAAGATGCCTATCCTACCAGGCTTTGGCGGCGGGCCAGGCGCATATGGGTCCGATCCCGCCACAGCAGTCGGCGGCGGCAGGCGTAGGAAGCTTGCCGCCATGGCCAATAACATGTACCGTGCCGGCGCGACCGCGGTGAACGAAATTCGAGAGGGCTACGCGCACATCCCCAGGGCTGGCGAGCTGACGCAGGACGACGGGCTCGGCAAGACGACGATCCCCGGATCCTTCCCTGACGTAGCCATCACCGTGCAAGGGAACGACCAGATGGTCATCTTCCCCTCTTATGCGAAGCGCCATATCAAGGGCGAATGGGCCCAGCTACCCGAGCAGCAGCAGCAGCCGAACTCGCAACAGGGCACCAAAGACGAGGACTGGTGGCGACAGCAGTGGGAGCGGGATCAGGACGAGCGCGCCATTGTCGATGTCGACGTGCGTGGATGGATATATTCGCCGCACAGGGGCCAGGTCACGAGGAGGAACCGTGTTTTGATCGGTCTGGCGCGTCAGTTGAGCGGCATTCCGGCGCCAAAGTCCGACGCCAAGCCGTCAAGCGGGGAGACGGGCTTTCTCGCCATACACGAATCGCACGAGGAACGACGTGAGCAAGAGAGAATCGCCCAAAAGGCTGCCGAGATCGAGAAGAAGGGCCAAGAAGAGAAGAGGGTGGCCTACCATGGAGGCTATAGCGAGCCGGCTCGAGGTGACGATGGCGAGTTGATTAGGGATTACAACTCGAGGTCGCGATCGCGAAGTCCTAATCCCACGCTGGGATCCGCGCCAGGCTCTCCGCAATCTGTGGCAAGGCAGTACACCACCAGCAATGAACTTACAGACGCGGAGCTGGCAGTGGCTAACGCGAACCTCATGGCGAGGATAGCGCCATTCATGACGACACCCTTGGTGGAGCAGCCAATAACCATCTTTTTCTACAACGACGAGCACTCGGCATCAAGAACGGTCGAGACGAACGAGGCAGGCCACTTCATGGTCAGGGCAGCTCTCGAGTTCGTCCCTACGCATGTTCGCGTCTTGGCAAACGAAAACCTTTCAGCAACCCAAGAAATCAAGATTATAGAGCCCAAAGGCGTCAGTTTGATCAGCGACATTGATGACACTGTCAAGCGCTCCAACATCTCGGGCGGCGCCAAAGAGATCTTTCGAAATACATTTATCCGAGAACTCCGCGATCTTACTGTCGAAGGCGTTAAGGAATGGTACGGGAAGATGCATAACATGGGTGTGAGCATACACTACTGCTCAAACAGCCCCTGGCAACTGTTTCCCGTGCTGGCTAGCTTTTTCATGATTGCTGGCCTGCCGCCGGGATCCCTTCACCTCAAACAGTACAGTGGCATGCTCCAGGGCATTTTTGAACCTGTCGCGGAGAGAAAGCGTAGCACGCTCTGCAGGCTGTTGAAGGACTTCCCCGAGCGCAAATTCATGCTTGTTGGTGACAGCGGCGAGGCCGACCTCGAGGTCTACACCGAGCTCGTTGTCTCTCACCCAGACCGCATCCTTGCCGTGTTCATCAGGGATGTGACTACCCCAGAACAGACCGGCTTCTTTGACTCGTCGTTCGGCAGGGGCAACATATCGCGAAGGGCAACTGCAGATGACGAGCCTCATCAACGGCCAGCGTTGCCGCCGCGCGGTGAAACGCCAAAAACGACGGGTCCGATGATGGGTGATCTCATCGACTTCTCGGACGAGCCAGCGTCTACGGCAGCGAACAACACCGCTAAGGTCTCGCAACTGCAAGCTGACCGCCAGCCGAGGCACTCAGCGAGCACGACCGACCTTCTCACGCGACAGGCACCACCTCGACCGGTCAAGCCAGCGTCATTACGAAGCTCTCCATCCGATGAAAAAGCACAAATGTTGGGCGCAGACCTAAGGCCGCAAAACTCCAAAGGCATTCCGACGCCTCCTCTGCCCCGTAAAAAGGTGCCTGGAGACCGGCCCACTGCCCATCCCCTGTCCCAAACACACAACCTCTCGCTGCAAACATTAGGCAGCACAAGCAGTCTTCCCAATAACGCCAGGATTCCAGCTTCTACCCGCACGAGCGACTCCTCCATTCGTTCCGGCCGCACTGCGGCGCCGCCGCCTCCGCCGCCACGCCGCCGCGACACACCCTCCAGCATCCGCAGCACCAGCCCCCGCTCAGTCGCCCCTGGTCGTCAGCGCCCAGCCGCCGACGAAGACGTGGACTTTGATCCCCTTCCGTCCTCGTCATTCGTGCCGCCACCTGTCGGCCCCCGGCGCACCAACACACAGTCGACGAGTGGCACGCCATCGGGCTCACCACCGCTTGGCGCCACGGCTGTCAACAAGAAGGTCGAACTATGGAATCGCCGCTTACAGCGGGCACACGAAACGCTGGCCGCACACGGAGTGAGGCTGTACACGTGGCGGCGCGGTGACGATGTCGTTGCTGAGGCCGTCGGGCTCGTGGAGCAGGCGACGAGAGGGTCCAGGGGTGGAGAGAAGGATGCCCGGACCGAGGGGCGACGGTTCGAGGAGAAGCTCAAGAGAGAAAAGGGCCGGGAGGAGGGATATCATCAGCACCAGTACTGAAGACAGCCGTGACGTAGAGCATTGGGACCGAGCAAAATGATGGGCTTCTATAGCATATGCGGCATAGCGAACATGGATACAACTACTTGTCGAAATGGAATTCACTCGTTGCGAGGACCCATAATGAATGATTGCTGCGTCATTGTCTTCTTCCTGTTCCAGTATTGCTGCTACCTTGTGCAGCTCCCCTTTCGCAACGGGGACGGACCACCTTGCTGTATCACGTCTTAAATATGAAGGAGCTGCAAGAAAGGATCAAGCCGCCCACGCCGTCCCTGCATCAGCCCAACCTCCCGGTGCCCATCGAATCGAGCAATGCACAACATGGCATCACATAACACGTGGGCCGAGGCCAAGGCTCGCTAGGAAGACAAATTGAACAAGTGGTATTAGGTCCAGCAACCTACGCGAGAACACCCTCCTATGCTAATAAACGAACCGACGCACTGCTTTTTCTAGGTATCCAACCTCCGACCCCATCCCCATGCTGCGGCGCGGCACAATCACCGCTTCAGCAGTCCCGACGACCACATGCATGGCTGATCAGCGCTTTACTGCCGCCGATCCATATCGTTGGCAAGGTTCATGTGCATGATCGCATCCCGGGTCCAGTCTTCCTCATCCGTGGGCCCTTCGTTGCCCTTGCGCCAGAGCTCCATGCTCTCGCGCCCGTCGACGCCCGGGAGTCGCAGCTGCGGCGGCCTGGCACCTCCGTGCGCGCCCGGCTTGGGTGCCACAGCCGGCGGCACCTCCTCGCCATACTGCGCATAGTCACCTGAGCCATACTGCCCGGTGTGGCCGCTGCCTGAGAGCGAGGGCTGGCCGCGGGCAGTCTGCGAGTCGCTGGACGACTGCGTCGCCGCGTATGCCTGGCGCTGGTCGCCGGGCATCTCAGCCGGCGGCATTGATGCAATGTGGCCCATCTGCTGCTCAAACTCCTCCTGCTCCAGGATTTGCGGCGCATGCTCAACGTTGCGAAGGCTCGAGGCCCCCGCCGCAGGGACGCCTGAGCTGCGTTGGCTGACGACCGAAGCGCGGTTAGGGTCAGCAGAGTCTGCGGTGCCCGACTCGCCGCCCATTTCAGATGGATCCATGTCGCGAATGGCGAATTGAGCCATAGTGCGCAACTTACGCGTCACCCAGCCAGCCAGGATCTTTCCACGCTGCTTCTCGCCGAGACGCGAGCGAGGGAACTCGCCCTTGCCGACAAAAGCGACAATATCGACGATGATTTGGTGCTCGTTGAGGATGGCATTGACGATGACTGGCACAATGGAGGCAAGGTACGACTTGCGCGCCACCTCCACGAGGACCACTACGAGACCTCCAGCCTGGAAAACGGCACTATTGTCGGTTAGCATCACTACAGCTATCAGGCACGGTGAGACTTACCATCCGCTCGGTACGATGCTACGATGACAGCGCTCGACTGAATACTCAATATCCATTGGGAAGTGGCTGAGACCGTTGATCTCGAAAGTCTCTCCAATGTTCCCGAGCACGAACAGTACTTGCATATCTACCTGCGCACCTCCAGGTCCTATAGGCCTGCTCACGTTATGCAAAAACCCGAGGTCGCCGGTGCGGACGTAGGGAATGCTCGGGTCGCCATCGAGCGTGCGGCCGTCGAAACGCTCTGCGTCAAAGGCATCCTTGGATCCATAGAATGACTTGACGCATGCCTCCGAGTCTACCCAAATCTCGCCGTACTCGCCGTCGTGGCACAGCATGCGACTCTCGGGGTTGACAATGGCGATCTGCGTTGAGACAGGCACCATGCCAGAATCTTGGATCATCAACGGTTTTGGCTCCGAGTCTGGGTCCACGGGGATGATGAGGCCGCGTCGCAGCGCCTTGATGTCGAGCCACAACTCGATCGGCTCTATACACATGTATGACCGAGAGGCCACCATGGGGTTCAGCACGTGCGAGTACACAGTGTTGATGGCTGTCCTGTCGAGCCCAGCAGCTGCGAAGTGGAGACGCACTTTCTGGAACACATCGACGCGGGGGCGACTGTCTGCCGAGATCATCATGTTCTTGAGCTCGTGGAGTGTGAAGCCCTTGCCCTGCGTCATAGCCATGGCGTGGTCCAGCATTTGAGGTGTTGCGTAGGTGTCCTTGATCTTATATCTCGAAAGGATGACGAAGAGTGACATGGGATTCTGCGCAAACTCAACCGGCGAGAGAAGGTATGTTGGAGTGCCAATGTAGATACCCATCAAGCACGTGTGGATGAACCCTAGACCAGTCGTGCTGCGAACACAGCCAAGTACAGGGCGGGAGCTTGTCATTTGACAGGTCTCTTTCTGGACTTTGCACATGCCGAGGATCGTGTCATGACCAAGCTGAACTGAGATTCGCCGCTGGTCAGGAGTCCAGTACGTCCAGATAATCACGGGGTAGCCCGGCTGAATCCAGGCTGGCTGCATCGTGATCCCCAAGTCTCGAAGACCGCTGTTTTGTTTTGGAGGTTTCGTTGTGTTGAAGTAGTTGGGGATGGGGATTTTGAGGATCTGCGCCGATTGCTTAATATGGCTCGCCACGTTCTTCATCTTGATGAGGTGGTCCACGTCTTGGTTGACAAGACATGCCTTCACATTGTAGTCGGATACAACGTGTAGGAACGCCGGGACATCTTCATTGAGACGGTTCTGATCCAATGGCGCCATGGGAATGACTACAGCGCCAAGGTTGATACATGCGTGTATCGCGAAGACAAACTCCTCCGAATGCGTATACATCATGATGATGTGGTCACCCGGGCGAACCTTGACCTTGCCCTTCAGATACAACGCCACAGCTGCGACCTTGGTATCGAATTTCTTCCAGGTGATGCCCTTGCCTTCCCTGCTGCGCCCATCGATGGTGCAGTACGCCAGCTCCTCAGGCTGTCGTGCGACGCGCCACTGAATGAGATCGGTGATACAGGAGAAGTTGTTCAGGGGAGTCGATGTCCGATCATCAATGACGACCTCTCGGCGATCGATACCAGAGTACTGCTTGTCGGTCGGCATCAAAATGTCGGCGCGTGATTCCGAGGCAAGGTTGGACCAGATTCCACCCATTGGATCTACGCCGATGGGCAGATTGAGAACAGCATGCTCAACACCAAACTTTACGTGAACACAAGGCAGGTTACCAAGATCAAACTCGCGCCGGCAGAGCATGTTGCCGATCTCTCTACGACCGTTCTTCAGCACTCTGGGCAGGGAGTTGGGCGCCGTGATCATGACGCAGTAAAGACGGAGGTGGTGTTCTTGCATGAGCACGTCGATGCATCGCTCAGCCAGCGATTCCAAGAGTGGCGTGTCGAGTTGTCTCGGCGGCTGACCAGAGGCTAAAGGAGCTGTTGATGCTGCTGGTGATTCGAGGACGACTATTGGCAGGTGCTCGTCGTTGACGAAGACGTCAAAGGCAGAACAGTCGTAGATCTTCGGAACGTTCTTGACGATGCTGACAACGATATGCTGGACGAAGAAATATCTGTGCTCGGCGAGCTCGGTGCCGTGCTCTACCCATTCCACCTTTTGCCTGATACGGTCTTCGTACAGGCCAAGAATAAAGACTTTGCCTTCGATGACGGTACCTAGGAGGCCTGTTCGCAAGAACTCAGGCTCGACGGCCGTAGGCGTTGGCTCGCCAGGCTCGAATTTGTAGGGACGAGCATGGAAGATCTGCTCGGTGTGCTTTGGCAGTGCCCAAAACCCTCCAGAAAGGGATGGCGAATCAACCCAAATCTCGCCCACCGAGTGAGGAGACGACAGTAAGCCGGTCTCAGGGTCCACAACGGCCAACGTAGCATCCGGAATGGGGTATCCAAAGGCACCGACCCGTACTGTCGCGGGGTCGCTGACTCTCTTGTTGACTTCGTCCCCAATAGCCACCACAACGACTTCGTTTGTCTTGAGGGCTTCTCTGTCGAGCAGAACCGAGCTCAGATCATTCTTTGACTTTTGCTCCGTCGCAGTTGTTGCGCCGCCCAGGAGACTGCCAAAGCCATTCGACGGAGTCGGCTTCACTTCCTTTTCTTCAGTGTCCGAGTCGACATCTGACCCAAGCTCCAACTTCAAGGGACAGCCCATCCTCTCCTCGCCGCCGAGCCAATCCCTGATACTGATAATCATGCCGCCATGCTCCGGGAGACACAACATGGGCGCGACAACCTCTCTGGCTCTAGGGTTCCTCAGCGGCTTCAGCCATCTGTCAGCCAGAACTTCATGGAACTCGCTGTCGACGGTCAAGGTGTCGATCAGACAAATTTTGACCGTCTGAAAGTTTGGTTCCATGCCCTTCTTGAAGTTTCGAGTGGTCATGGGATCTTGTTGATAGTTGTATGCGGCGCGCTTCAGGCCTGGGTAGTCCGCAACAAGAATGGTGGCCTTGTACTTGGTGATGAGGTTTGCGTACAGGCCAGGGACCTCGGCCACCTTGCTGTCCACCCAGACGGTGGTGTGGCCACCGTAGACAGTCAAGAGAACGCCGAGAATCATGCCGATGCCCTGTCTCGGATCGAGGTAGGAAAGAAGCGTCTCGCTGGCAGCGCCTGCGCCAATCAATTTCCCGTTCTTATCCCGGAGATGGCGGTTGAACGTGTCGCCAGGTCCGTTGCCGGGAAGCGTAGACACGATGGCGCTCATGCAAGCCATTTGGTGCATGATGGTGCGATGGCTGAGCACAACACCCCTCAAATCGCCTGTTGGGGCCCTCGAGAATTCTATGTATGCCAAGTCGGGGACAGTCAATGGCGGAACATCCTCCTTGCGCTTAGGATGGTAGCTTCCGAATTCGTTCGTCTTCCACCATTCAACCCCCTTAGGCCAGTTAAGCTTCTGAGTGGTGATGTCACGCTGGAACGCCTTCAAGTTTTGATCTGTGGTCAGGGCAAGGTGCGCTTGCGTTGATGTGAGGATCAAGTTGAGCTTTTGGTAGTCCTGCAGGTCATTGATGGGGACCGCGACGACACCAGCAATGAAGCATCCCAGCAGCGCAATCGCAAAGTCGATGATCTCGGAATCGCGATAGATGAGGGCCACGCGATCTCCTCGGTATAACGAACTTTTGTCACGGATGACCTGCGCGACCTTTTCAGCCCTCGAGGCGAGCTTGTCCCACGTGACGGATGCCATCTCCTTGCCCCTGTTGTCCAAGACCCAATAAGCAGGCATCTTGGAAGCTGTACGGCCGCGGTGGCGCAGAACAGCAGCAATGTTGTCAAACTTGGACATTGGCGTATTGGCATCGTGAGGATCATGGATGGCAAACGGAACCTCTCTCGGCTCGAGAGGCATCTGGTACTCAAGACCCTCTGGGGGCGGCAGGTCGTTGGCCGTCAATAGGGGTGGCGCCATTGCTGCCGTCGGAGAAAAGGCTTCGCCCGACGAGTACCGGTGGGGATGAGGGGGGTAGTCATCGCCGCGCGATGGCGGCGCTGGACCATGATCAAAGGCCTGCTGGCCAGTGAATCCAGAGAAATAGCCCGTCGAGTCGAGCATGGTCCCTGATCTGCTATCGTACTGCGGCTGGTATTGGTCTTGGTACTGATCTTGGTGCGGGCCTTTGTCTGCGTAGCCGGCCTGGTTGTCGTATGCGTCCTGCTGGTCGGGATTGAACGCATAGTCGCCCGACACCATGGTGCCGGTTCGTGTGGATGCCTCGGGTGCGGGGGAGAGGAAGAGAGAATCGTGGGCTCGCATCGTCGGTCGGTGTTCAGCGAGTGGCCCGCCGGGACGAAGCAACCCGGCGGGGCTCACTTCGGTGGGAGAGGCATAGCCAGAACCGGGACGCTGACCGAATGGCGAGGCTGGACGCTGGCTTGGTGATGTCGGACTCGTCGGATCAGAGTCCCTGCCGCCAAGGGCGGCTAGTGCGGCAGCTCGATGGCCATCGTTGCTGCCGTAGTCGGGCTCGGCTTGTTGCTGGGGTTGGATGCCCAAGCCTGTTCTCGGATCGATGATGCCCGGCTGCGCGCCTGGGCCGAAGAAGCTGGAAAGGAGTTGTGTGCGGCGTTTCTGGTAGCTGCGGCGGCGCGTTAGTCGGCTTGTCTGGGTCGTTCCGAATGGATCTGGCCCTATCCTACCCTTTCTCTGTGATGTCGCCTTCCTACGGGTGGGATCACTGGTCAGCTTGCACGATCAGACAGCCGGCGCATTCCATAAAACGAAAGACAATGATGCCAGCGATGGGGGACACATCGTCTATTCATATCCAGGGGGATTGAGGCGGCGACTTGGTCGACGCGACGTTGGCTTGCTCTCGGCCGCTCGTTGGTCGTGTGTCTTCAATCGCCGCGGACTTTCGATGCGGGGGTACCACAACAGCAGACGCACCTCCAATTCTTTCTCTAGCTCGTCGAGCTTGTCTTGGAGACCGGGATCCAGCTGTGCGGCCATGACTGCAATCGCCGGCGTAGGGGCAGTAAAGCAAGTCGTGGAGCGGCCGTGGTGGATGTTGTTGAGTTGGGGGTTTTTGGGCGGATCGGATCAGGTCTGGGTCGACGAGCAACAAGTCAAAGACGCAGGCGACGGCGACGGCGACGGCGATAGACGGCTATGGGCTTTTGGCAAAGGTTGTACTGGTAAAGGGTACTGTGTTGGTGGTCCAATGAAGAGGCGGCCTCGTGACGTAGTAGCTCAGGGGTTCTCTCGCCAGGACAGGGCCTAACTAGTAGAGGTCTGGTGGCCAGGCGGAGGGCGCCAGGGCGGGTTGCAAAACGCACGAGTCGAGGGTCCTGGGTCCTGGGTCCTGGGGCACCACCTGAACTGAAGAGTTGGGAGGGGCTCGATTGCTGTGGATGATGTGACTGATGGACGAGAGCGGATACTGTAGTATCGAACGGTGTGATCCCGAATCCGTGTCTCCATCGAAGGACTTGGGTCGTGATAGTCTGGATTCGCGTCAAGACAGAATGACGGGATGTTCTAGGAGGCCTTCATAGCTCAGGTTTGCGAGGAGATGAATACTGGTTGGAAACGAAAACGAAATCCAAAGCCTGATCGGAGCCCTGTTGCTGGGATGGATCCTGACTGCTTTCCCCCCCTCCTCCTTCTCTTTTGGGATCATCTTGGCTCGACGGAGCCTGCCATGCGCCTGTCGAAGAGGGGGAGCGAATCGGTTAATACAATGAATGTCCCGACACAAGAGCCCGGACCAAGTCGAGCATTGGCATCACGAGCCACATCGACCGAGACACCAGCCACTAGGTCCACTCCTCTTTTCTCTACCTCAATTTTGCCGCCGCCAGAAATTTCTCTCTCAATTCAACCTCATTCATCACATCTACATCTCGTCACGTCCTCTCCCGTTCGCCCTGCTTTTCTTCCCTGCGATGCATCATGCGAATGAAGGGCATGAGATGTATGCTGACCTCGTGCCGCGGCATCCCTCGCAGGCCTCTTTGTCCTTGCTCCGATTTCCTTCGAGCGTAGACCAGGACATCGAGGCCTTCCTCTCGATCGTGGTAAGTCACCTCGACATTTCACTTTACCTTTTCCTTACCACCAAGACAACATGATGAGACAAGCACAAATATTCACAGACCTGTTCGGAATTTACTGTCGACAACTTTGGCATTTTTACCTGATTCTTCGTCTTGATATCCCTTCTTCTTTCAATCAGCAGCAGGACGTTCGAAGCAACATGGCTAATACCCTGCAGACTCTCTCGCTCTCTTTTTACCTCTCACACACCCCCTTGTCACGGAGTCGCGAGTGCATCCCGGGCCAAGTGGTTACTGGGACCACCGCGATCAAGTCGGGGGACAAGCTCATTGTCTGGTCGCCGAATCAGAGCGGTCCAAGGAACAACCACCAACGCGTGGTCCAGCTCGTTTCCTTGTCTTGCCCGTCCAGGTTTAGCACAATCAACATCTTCAACCACAATGACCACGTCCTCTCTCTTTGTGCCCACCTTGTCCTCGTCGTGATGCTTTGTCCGAAACTCGGCACGGGTTCCCTTTCTGGCAATACACATACATATATCGTGCTTCGCTGGGCGGCTCTGTTTTCCCCGTGCCATTTTCCCACACCATCGAATGCAACACTGGCCTTTGAGACCTATCACCAACTGGCACCGAAGCGCGACCTGCCTCCCCGACCCCGAGGCAATCACCAACCAACTTACTACCCACCACTCAGAAGCAGCTGCTGGCACCTGCTCATTTACTTCAAAGGAACCAAAGTCCATCGACCCGACGCAACAGGTCTGATCATGGACATCTTCAACTCGGATTTCTACGCCGGTTTTGACATGCAAGCGGCGGAAGACTACTCCCGTGCGTCGGACCCCGCCGGGCCTGACACTCTTGGCTTGCAAGATGTCATGTTGGAGGGACCCCTTGACATCCCAATAGACCCCGCCCTCTCTGATCCCACGGCCATCGACTACAGCGGCATCGTGAGTAATTTGTTCGACGACAATGGAAGCCTCTTTGACGGCTGCAGCGAAGAGGTCCAAGGAGAATTGAAAAACTGGGCATTCGACGACCTCACGCCTCCCCAGCCCGTCATCCCAGCAGACACGACTTTTGCTCTGCCACCCGTGGTCCCCGACATTCAGCCCGAGATTGTGGTCGCAACAACGCCGGCGTACGAATACCCCCCGCCTCCTGGCACCACAGACGAGCCCGAGACCCCTGTCCTCGAGACTCTGACCTGGGATTCCTTGCCTGTGCAACCCACCGCATATCCCACGCCGCCTCCTGGGTGGAGCACGGCCGTTCGGCCTACACTGCCTCCGGCTCCCGTCCCCGCCGAACAATCGCCGTACCAGAGCTTGCTGCTGGCTGCTGCCGACCACAACAGCAACGTGGCCAAGCAAGCCATCGGCGCGGCGCATGGCCTGTTGCCGAATCAGCAGTCGAATCGACTGGAAACGCCACCGTACAGTGTACCAGCCTCGCGGCTTCCCAGTCGCCCGCCCAGCTGCATGCCGAGCCGTGCACCGAGCCGTGCACACAGCCGCATCGGCACGCCGGCGCCTCTCAGCCTCGGCCTCGGCCTGGTCCCGAGCCGTCTTGCCACGCCGGCATCGATGGCTCTGATGCCCGGCCGCGCAAAGCGCACCGGCATCATCCCCGCCCGCCAGGTCAAGGGCGAGATCAACTACGCCGACTACTACGCCAAGCTGCCCGAGACGCCCGCCCCCTGGGGCGGCGACGACCCCTACCGCCCCAAGTTCCAGTACACGAGCCAGGGCATGTGGAAGCCCAACCTGTGCTTCGACCGCGGCGATCTCTACGAGTACATGACGGCTCGGCAGACCGCCGGCGTGCCCCTGACTGTCTGGATCCAGAACTGCCCCGCCGGCAGCAACGCGCGGTGCCCGGACCGCGGCACGCGCCAGTGCCGTTTCAGCGACTGCCCGGCGCCGTCGCGGTCTATCCTCAAGGGGTGGTGGCGCGTCGCCTTCGACGAGCACCCGGAGGCGACGGGCAGCGAGCTCGACCCGTTCCACTGTGCGGGGTTCATGCATCTCTTCTGCTTCGAGAAATGCTTTGATCTCGTGGAGATGATGAACGCCTTCGATGTACGCCCGGACACGCGCCAGTTTGAGCGGGGAGCAGAAGAACTTCATGGCCCTGACGCGCGACCACGTCGAGATCCTCGCCGACCTCGGCCGCTGGCGTGTGGAGCAGGAACACAAGTGGCAGCAGTGGCAGGACAAGCTGGCCGCCAGCGAGACAGCGGGCTGTCGAGGCCCGATGCATCCCCAGGACCACCTTTGTACGTCCTGACCATGGCGCACGTGGGCAGGGAGTCTGCAGCGCGCAAATCCGTACGCGACCAACGCGGGGGTCGTCGATAGACAAGCACCGGGGTGACCTCGACATCCCCCTATTACTTAGTATGAAGCGCACGCAGAGAAGAAGACCAAGGCCAACGCAGTCCGGGAGGCCAAGGCGGCACTTGCTGAAAAGATGATGCGGGAGCGTACACGCACATCATCCAAGCGCAAGCGCGATGTCGATGACGATGGTCATGGCGACGAGGACGCTGATAGTGACGAAAGCTACGACAGCAAGACCACCAGCACCCAAGATGTCAAGGCGCCACTTGCGGAAAAGATGCTTCGTGGGCGTACACGCAGGTCATCCAAGCGCAAGCGCTCCGACGATGACGATGAAGGGGTCATTAATGTTGACAACGCTGACGCTAATCTTGACGAAAACTACGACAGGAAGGTCATCAGCACCCATAATTTCAAGGCGGCACTCGCAGAAAAGATGCTTCGGGAGCGCATACGTACATCATCCAAGCGCAAGCGCGACGACGATGACGATGAAGGAGGCATCGATGATGACGACGCTGACACCGATGTCAACCCAGACTACGACGAAAGGGTCACCAACATCCAGAAGGCCAAGGCTCGTGCAGTCAGGCGTCCGGTCAAGCGCATCCGAATATCGGATGCACAGTACAGTGCTGCCAGCCCCAGCCAGGCATCGCCAGGCACCCGCCGAAGCCCGCGTGTGCGGGTAGGTAGCTACACCCAGTTCTACTGACGAGGGCGGCCTGGGTAGACGGCTTCCCATTGTTTGGCCCGTAGCCAGCTGCGACGCTAGGGGTCATCCAAGTGGATGATCCTGAGTTCTCGCTTTTGTTGACAGCTCGTGCCCTTTATCCCTTGGGAACAAAAGGGTTATGCTGCTTCTTTTTGCATTTCTAGAGAAGGTGGTGGGTGTCGACTCGGCGTTTTATTGGCTGTGAGCAAGTTTCTCCCATACATGGCATTGGATCAAGGTTACACGGAACGGCATTTGGCAGAGATACATGCATGCATAGCACAGCACATTGTTGCCCTTCCCTATGTCGCAGCATCGGATTGAAAATAAAAGAAGACGGTCCATAGACAGAACGGGGAGGCGTTAAAAGAAGACTCGCCAGCTGGCTGGCTAGAGCATACAAGTCAGTCGACAATAAAAGTTTCTTTTGTCTGTACCGACAAGGGGAGAGCAGTGACCAAGGGAAAAGCGGTGACCCAGTGAGGACCTACTTGAAAGCCAGACATTGTAAATGTGACATGAATCGGAAAGCTGGGTGTATTCATGGCAGCGTGGGCGCGGCGCCCGCTGTTGGGTCAGAGACATAGGAGCGGGGAAAAGGGAGGAGGTTGACGGAGGGTATCTACTGTGTTTTGGTTCTGACATGTCCATCGACATTCGAGTGAATACTGATTGGCTTCCAATCACGGTGCGATTCAACCACGACAAGCAAGTTTTCGAGTGATTTGAGAGCATTGGAGGCCGGTAGCTTGAGGTTGAGGATTTGGTGATGATGCACCTGATGTGTGGTGGCAGTGGTGAACACATTTCGTAGCCAGTTTCGATAGGTGGATGGTATTTACATTTGGGGTAGAAGTCTGTCACGGCAATCGATCCTTTGGCGATGCATCTTTAATCAGAGTTGATCTCTTACGCAGGCTCCGTCCACCTTCCTCGCTGTGTTCACCGCCAGAGGTCGGCTGGCCGGGTTTTTGATCGTGAAGGGACGAAGCTCGTGTCGTCGCCTATGGAATATTGGCAATCTCAGCCACAGCAGGAAAGGCTATGGCTCCTTGTCGGCGATACGCCTCACAGTCGCCAGCGGGGTTCATGGAGTGAACGTCGAGCCAATCATTGTCAGAGTCGGGTAGGGTTTAGGTGGACCAATTTGGGGCTTTTCTTTGTGACTAAAGAAGCATAATCGCAACAGTCATCTCTCATCAGTGTATGAGAAGTCACGTGCCCATAATCGCCATGATGGCGCGCGACGATGACCCCAGAAATAGCGTAGGTTGGTATTAAGGTGGATAAGAGTTGTTGTAACTGGCTTAGTTTGTCGCCCAGCGCGCCCCCAGGGCTACGCTTTATAGTGCCTGCTGACTAACTGAATCAGAGCAGTGCCTTCCTCCACCCAGGCGGTCGCTAACAGCTCCACCATACATGTGATACGACGCGCCGACTCTCCCCTTCCAAACCTTCTCTAATACCTGACGCCCCCGCCATGGTAGATCAACATCGGCCAAAGATCATCGAGGAGAACCCCATTAAGAACGGACTTGATAGCTTTCGCGCTTCATTCAAGGCCATCTGTACAAGCCAGGGCATCTCTCCTTGCCCGGACTCGCTTGGCAAGCTTAAGGGCGATGGTAACTCGATCCACCCTCCTGGTCCTGCACTGCTGACCTTGCAGAACTCCAAAACTTAGCTCTCGATCTCCTCCTTGCGCTTCAAGGTTGTCGGGCATCTCGTCTGCTTCGCTCCGGTGGGAGAGGGAAGAACCTCTTCGGCGACTTGTCAACACTCAGCTCTGCTGTCAACTCCGACGACTTCGATTTCGACCGAATCAAACCCCTCTTCAACGCATCCCTAGCCGAGATCCTTAACGATGCGCTGATCTAGGACCACGTCTACACAACCATCGCCGAAGCCACTCCGCCGCCCCGATCAATAGCGTCCTCTCTCCAACAAACTCCATGGCTCCGAAACACGAGCGGCTTCGCGAACTCGTCCGAGCATCGAAAATACGTGGACCTTGTGCTCAGGGAGGAGCTCGGCACTATGTATGTCGGGCTCCCTGGTTTTCACAAGGCATATTTCGGACGTATAGTCGATCTTGATATAGCGTCTCGGGCAATATTCCAGAAGTGCGAGGAAGGCAATAACCCTCTCTTTCGCGAGGGTTAGACAGGATAGCCCCGCGATGTAAACCAAGACGGCGTACTTAGCTGGTTCGCGGACATTAGCGAAAAGCTAGCGGTATTTGCAGAGTCATTCAGGCCTACTCTGGCCCATCGAAGACCGCTAGCACAGCCCAACAAGCCGATCCAAGGCTCTACGGCAGAACGTAAGCTGGATATTGCGTTTATGAACGACCCTCAGGCAAGAAGCGATTCTCGATGTCGCTAGTCGCAGATACTGGTCCCCGGAGAGTTAAAGAGTAACCCATCCGCCGATATCGCTTCTAAAGCATGGCTCGATTTGGGAAGGTACGCGAGGGAAGTTCTCACCGCTCAAGACACCCGTCGCTTCGTCTTGGGCTTTACAATTTGCGGCTCTCTCATGAGGATATGGATGTTTGACCGGCTTGGGGGGATCGCATCCGAACGGTTCGACATTAACTACGACGGGCTGCTATTTGTTTCCACGATCCTTAGGTTCCTCTGGATAGATAAGGAAGAGCTAGGCTTCGACCCTACGATCACTACAGAGGACGGCAAACGGCTCATCATGATTACACGGAACGGTCAAACAGAGAGGCTCGTTATCGACCATTTAATGAAACGCGCGCCCTGCGTCGCTGGCCGGGCTACGACTTGCTGGAAAGCGCACCGCGAAAAAGACCCACAGACGCCAATCGTTATTAAGGACTCCTAGCAGTTCGTGGAGCGTGACGAGGAAGGTGAATTACTCCAAGAGGCGACCGGCAAAGACGTAGTCAACGTCGCTAGGTACTACCACCATAAGACCGTTATTATCCGTGACCAAGTTGACGACATCCGAGGCAATACTCGACGGGGACTGGATGCTACTGAGGCGAAGAATTATCGATTAGAACGATCTATCATTTCGCGGGGCATAAGTGCAGTAGGCCCTCCACGAACAGGTCGAAGCAGTACTGCCGGGGTGAAGCGGTCATCGAGCCAGACCGGCGCCCCCGTGCCACCCTGTAAACGGTCCTATTCGGCATCTGCAACAAAGGCAAGCAGCGACGCCACCCCCAATCGAGTACACAGGCGTATCATCCTACGCGACTACGGAAAAGCTATTTACAAAGCAAGCTCCCCGTCGGTTCTACTTACCGCGCTAGACGGCTACATCGAAGGACATGAGTCCTTGCTGCTCAAGGCAGACTTGCTCCACAGAGACATCTCGATTAACAATCTAATGATCAACGAGGACAACACCAACCCTTCGTAGCCCTTTTTTTTAATCGACCTTAACGTTGCGATCCGAGAGCAACGAGACGGCGCCTCGGGAGCAAGAGGAAAGACAGGTACAAGGGCTTTCATGGCGATTGGAGCGCTTCTGGGCGAGCAGCATTCTTTTATGCACGATCTCGAGTCATTCTTCTAGGTCTTATTCTAGATATACATCCATTACAACGCGCCGGACGAGGGCAGAGTCGTCCCGAGGTTTAACAAATAGAACTACTTAGACACGGAGGAGCTAGCAACTTCCAAAACGGGGTTAGTTAGCAACGAAGGAGACTTTCTGAGGATCATAAAGGGGAACTATACGCCATACTACGAGTCACTAGTTCCGTGGGTCAATAGGTTACGCAAAGCCGTATTTCCAAATAATAGGAGGTAGGAGATGGAAGACCAAGGGTTATATGCGCGAATGAGAGAGATCCTTTATAAGGCGCAAATGGATCTAAGCCCGTCGTAGAGATTACAGTCAAATCGACTCTCTAGTCAGAATGGTACTCGACCCCGTGCACTCCGCAGCAATCCGACGGAAGATTCGGCTGTCCCGCACCACCTCTTCCAGACTGGTTAGTGTACGACGTCAAGATCGTCCAGCACCACGAGGCAAGTGGGGGTTTAATTAGTCGCTGGCCAACATGCAGCGGACGGCGTTTTATTCGAAACCCATGACACGCCTCGAGGCGCATATCGGTGGTCGTGGAGATCGTCGTAACATCCATGAGCCTGGCGCGCAGGAGGCCCGTAAGAACTTTGCCCTCCGCTTGGTGGCTGAAGATTTGGCTACCCCGCGATGTGGCTGAGATGATGGCTATGAGCGTCGTGGCTGTGTTGGCTGACTAACAGCGGTGACAAAACCACGCTGTCGATCCTTCACCGACTTGACATGTCCGCCATTCCTCGCCGTTGGCCAGTCAATTCTCGACGCGTCAATGTCAACTGGATCCAAAACGCACGGTTCAAGTGGACTCCTAGGCCATGACTAAGCAGACACGCTCCATTTCTTGTCATCTTACAGGGGTCATCAAGCTAGAGAGGCCGACGGTAATTATGTTGCATCTGTCAGCTAGGGTAAGAACTATTTGCTGGTTTATCGGTATCGCAGTGACCGTGGCTGACAAAGTGAGTGGAAAGGTTGATTCAGGTACAAGGATGTAGTTGGTTGTAGTTCAAGCCAGTCAGTTCGCCGTCACAGCGCTAATGGCAGGCAGGAGTCATCTTCAAGGGGATGGAAGTTCTGTAAGAAGCTGGGCGCCGTTGCGAATAGGATGGCATAGGCCGAAATAGTGATTAAGGCGAACTAATTACTATTGCGAAGAGCATGGATGAACGGCATGTTGAGGAGATATTATATTCGAGAATCGCTAGACCCTCTTAACCTTATCGAACTGGAGAACCTCGGCAAGTAGTCGAGCGAGGACCTGTACGTTAACAATAAAGATCCTGAGAATATCTCGCTTTCCTTTAGGGAGGTTTCTACTAAGGATTTGCTGTACGAGTACGACTTCGACTACTACGAGCTCTTGGTTTGGCGCTAGTTTAAACCCCTAGCGGGAATCAGATCAATAGATTCGCGTTTCGATATGTCTATCGAGA